GGCTCACAACAGACTCCTGATGAAGCAAGTCCAGTTAGGGAAGCCATCATGAATGCAGGACAAAGACCCCATTAGGCTCAAAGCCCCGCTGCCCACCGGATTTGAACCTAGAAGATTTGGGTGGTCATTTTTCAGCCATGAAGGAAGAAACCAAGTACAAAGAGGGTCAAGACACAGACAGCAAAACCCAAACAGTGAGAGAGGTTCCCGACGATGTCATTTGAACCCTGGATCAGCCCATGCCTGATGCTCAGATTCTTCAGTTCTATGGGGATGACTTTTCATTTTATCTGAATGAGTTTATTCTGGGCTTTCTGTCACTTGCAAGTGAAAGCAAGGGGCTCGACTTGAGATGGGTTTTCTGGAAGCCATAAAAAGGGATTCTTCAAAAAGCCTGAGCCTCTTTTCCTAATTCCTGTCTGGCTGCTATGGAATTAGGTCCCCATTGTTGCATTTGACTAATTCCTTCCTTATGTGCATGGGGCTTCCGGGACCTTGGAAGTAAAGACTCCCAGACACCTGTCACTGCGAGGAGAGATTAATTATTTTTGATGGAAAGAGCCTCCGCTGCCGGAGGAAAATTATTCTCCTAAGCCACAGGCAGGGTCCCCGCTGTTGGATTAGCTTCCCCGGCTGCTGTGTCCCCCGAGCAAACAAAGCTCCCTCTGCAGACCCCGCACCACAGGCTTCCTGGACTCAGGTGGGTGGTGATGGGGCCCCGGTTCTCAGTGTTGCTCCTGACTCCGACTCTTCATGGCTCCTGAGTCCAGGAGGCTGATGTACGACATGACCTCTTGCTTTCCAGCCGCTGTTCAGCCCAACTATGACCCCATTGCTCTTCCAGAGGGACTAGGGCAGAGCCCCCAGCTGGCCGCCGGACTTGGAGGGTTTGGGGACGGCTGGAAGGGGTCCCTGCCGCAACCCCTCCTCCGACTGGTGTCACAAATGGGCTGGAAATGAGGGTGATCTTGGGGGGCTGAGTTTCAAGGATTGTCCAAGGGCGTCTGGGGGGACGGCAGGCTCTTCCTTCTCCTTTCTGAGAGGCTGTCCCTTGCATGGTTGGGGCTGGGAAGTGGAGGTGCTTTTCTAGTTACAAAAACCCACTGACTGAGGCAAAGGGAAGGACGGGAGCGCTCTGTTGGCCATTCGGAGGGCAGGGCCAGGCTGGAGGTCGGTGCGAACAGGTACGCGGGGTGCTCATGGCATGCGCTGGCAAAGGCTTTGGGGTTTGGGACTCACTTAGAAATCACTACTCCAACCCTCATTGCTCGTATAGGAACGTGTGGGTTCATGTCCTCCTTTTGGGGGCATGGGGAGATATTCGTATTTCCCTGGGCACAGCCAGAGCGGGGCTGTTGTTCTGAGGGAGCAGCCTGGCCCCTGGCGGGGAGACAGGTCTCCATGGAACGGGAAGGGGGCCCTGGCTGAGGGTGGGCCCCGCACATGAGTCCGGGCGGCGTCCCCGGTCCCCACCGTCTGCGTGCTCTGTGCAAAGAGCCAGAGGACGTGCTGGTGCGTGATAAGGATGCAGACCCACTGGGGGTGCATATACGGGGGGACCCCGGATTCCAGGGAGGTCCCCAAGGACCAGGCGGTGTGGCTGGCCACTCCAAGACAGACCAGGATGAGCTGGAGGACCCCATTAGGCTCAAAGACTCCCTCGCTCAGCCACGAGGCCCCAAACACTCGGACACCCTCTTGGAGAGAAGCAGAGGCAGAAGGAAGAAATCAGATGGAACAGCGACCATCAACCCATCAGGGACCGAGACAGTATTGATTAGGAAGTTTAATGTCCGTCCAATCCCTCTTGCTCCCACCCTCCCTTCGCCGAGGGATGCTGGGCGGGGAGGACGGTTACATCCGTCGTAAAGCAGGAGATAAACTATGTTTTTTTGGTACATTTGAGCAGAACTGGGTAAGCCTGTGGCCCTGGCATGTTTGTTTAAAATGGTATGAAATCATCTTCAATTTGCTTTGATGGCACAAATAAGGTGGTCATGTAATACACTCATCGAGTCTCACGGTAAACCTCGCGGCACCACAGCGGAGTGGGAGTCCCTTGGAGCATGTAGTGTTGCTCTCTGTCCAGCGCTCGCTGCCCTTATCGGCTCGGTGTAGACCACCGTCTCTGCATTTACCCATGTAGATATGCACCCTGAAAATGCAGACGTTCTCTAGCCTTCGGTCTTGTCGTAGACAGGACCACGCTACAAGGAGAGTTTCGATTTGTTTTACTTAAGGAATCTGTCAGCACATATATATCCACCTCGTTTTTATTCTTTTTTTAGCGACAGAGCCAGTGTGAGCGTGAGTGGGGGGAGGGATAGAGGGAAGGAGAGGGAGAATCCCCAGTGGGCTCCGCCGTGGGACTCGATCCCATGAGATCACGGCCTGAGCCCAAATCAAGAGTCGGATGCTCAATGGACTGAGCCCCCCCGGGCGCCCCCACCCACCTCATCTTTAGAAACGCTGCATGGCACCCTATAATGTGCCCTATAATGTCTGGGAGTTACTGAACGACCTCCCTACTGGTGGCCGTGGAAGCCGCTTCCGCGTTTTGCTTTTGCAAACGATAGGACCACAAACCTCTTCAGGCTGAACTTTGTGCACGGATGCAAGTCTTCCTCCAGGATGTGCCTCCAAAGTCATTTCTTTGTTTCTCCCCTCTAGTCTCAGGCTGCAATTCCTGCAAAGATGTGTGTCATCCCGGGAGCGGGCTGCCTCACCCCGTTCCCACCCCATTCCCAGCTCGACCAGGCAGGTGCCGCTTACATTCCCTCGTGGTTTAGCCGGAGGAGGGGGTCAGAGAATCTGCTGCGACTGGACAGAGTCAGAAGCAGGACAGAAGTGGAATTTGTGGCTTCTTGCCTTGTTAGCAGCAGAAGAGAGGTGACACCGAGGGACGCTGACTGATGGGGCAGTGAGGAGCCCCGTGGCGTCTCATGTGAAGACACTAATCCCATTCTGGAGGGCATCACTCTCAGGACCTGCTCACCTCCCAAAGGCTCCACCTCCCAACACCAGTAGGTTGGGGACTGGGTTTCCACATCTGAGTTTTGGGGGGACACAGACATTGGGTCTACAGTGAAGGACCAGACGCCGAGCCATGGACTCTAGCAACTTAGTTTCCTGATGTTAATCTTTGGAAATGGCTCTCTGACTCTATGGAAAATCCCTAAGCTCTAAATAGTTCTGTGCCATGCCTAGGGGTGGAAATAGCAGGTTCCGCCCTGCCCGCATCAGGCAACAGCCTATCCGGATGCCCCTACAGTGGCCAAGCCGCCCACTGGCCTCTCCGCAGGATCCCTTGTCCTCGGTGAGGCTCAGGGGCTGATGGGTCTCCACTGGCGGGTTGGGTGGGGGGGGCTGGGATCTGCCTCAGTTTACCTCCATATCATTTGGGTAAAACTCTCGACGTGGCTCAACTTGGCATGTGCCATTTGCAGAGAAAATTGGGATGAGTTTGTTGGCAAGGTGGCTTTGTAATGATTCACCAAGGGGTGGGCTCTTGCAAACTCTTCACAAGTCAGATTGTGTTCTCGGGATTTAAGTCATGGTCACCCGGGAGGGTGCAATCAAGCCGTTGGATGTGCCCACCTCCCGGTCCCAGCACCCAGGGGTCCATGCTCCCAGGTGGCCACCAGAAGATGAAGCCACTAGCTAAAATCCCAAATGGAGCTCCTCTCATCTACTTACAAGACACAGGCTGTCTCGTGACGCTGGTTGGACCCGAAGGTCCTTGCAGGGGTCACTCTGAAGTCAACAAGGTCGCTCAGATCTCTGCTTCTCCTGCATCACCCCGGGGCTCCAGGGAGCCATCCACAGCTGGGGGCTGGATGCAGACCCCGGCCGTGGCCCTTTCAACAGTCCGACCACACTTCCAAAGATGCATTTGTGTTTTCCAGGCCAACCTGGGGGCCAGTGGTCAGCTGCACTTGGTGATGACCTAGTGTGCTCATAACTGGGCAGTGTTTTGTCCATCCACACTACCTGGGATACTTCGTCAATATTTCATCTCATAGAATCCTTGTGTCAACCCTTGGGGTGCATGTCACGTTATTCTCATTTTACATTTGGGAAACTGAGGCCTAAAGTCATCCCAGCTGTGTGTGATGGAGCTTGACCCTGGACCCAGAATGTATTACTTACCTGTTGCCCAAAGCTTAGCCCCAGAAAACAAAAAACACCCGTTGTCTCAGTTGCTATGGCCCCGGAGTCCGGGAGTGGCTTGGTTGGTCGTGGCTCGGGGTCTGTCACGGGGTTTCAGTCGAGGTGTCGGCTGGGGCTGCCTCATCCAAAGGCTTGACTGGGGCCGAGGGTCCATTTCCAGGGTGGCTCCTGGCGCGGCCGTTGGCTGGGGCCTCGGCTCCCCCCAGATTCGCGGCAGAGGAGTTCGGACCGTCTGAGTGCCCACGGCTTCCGCTGCAGCAGGCGGCTGGGGGAGGGAACAACATCTCCCAGGATGCATTCTCGAAAGTGACATATTCTGTTCATTAGAAGTAAGTCACCATGTGCGGGCCGCACTCCAGGGGAGGAGATTCAGGCTACTTTGAAGAGTCTGAGGCCGCATTTTAAAACCGCCACACCGACGTCCTTGACATCACTGGTACCATAACATCCAGTGACCCGCCTGTTGGAGAAATGGCACAAAAGCTCACTCCCATCTCCTGGACCTTACGGTGTTTCGAATCTCCGTGCGGAACCTGCAAGGAGCCCCCCTGCCATGTTTTCCTGCATCCTTCTGCCTTTCCTTTTGCCCACCACCCGCGATTCTCTTTCTAGAACCCAAATCCTACCAAGTCACGTGCTGCCCCAGAGCTTCTAGCCGCCCCCGTTCCCACCAGGTGGGTCGCCCTCTGACTTTTCTTCCCCGGGGATGGGCCTGCTTGTTTTAACTCCTACCCCCCTGCATGTGCCGCCCGCTCTTCCGGGAACGAGCCCATCTCCTTCCGAGTTCCCCAGCTGCTTCGAAGTCCCCTCGTGCCACTGCCCCCTCCCTGCGTGTCAGCCCGTGAGGGGTGTGCGGATGGAGGCGCCTGCCTGAGTCAGACAGCTACCTGCCGGCTTAACCGGGTTCGCACTAATTAAAATCACAGGACGGCTAAATTTAATTTTTGACACCTGATAAATGCCAGACATCAATGGATTTTTCATTAACATACTGAATAGCAGTATCTTTAAGTCACGGTTACGAAGACACTTCCCTAATTTCTTGGAGGCGGTTAATCTTCCGTAGAGACATCAGGAGGGATTGGATTTCCTTTCTCTCTTGGCTCTTGTCAGGTCTGTGGTGTAAAATGGCTTGAAAACAAGTAATTGCCCCAGACGGTGATGTCTGTTTCATGTCTCTCAGGAAGTGCGCGAAGGAGACCGAGCAGGTGCCGCGGGCTGGGCGGGGTGGCGGCCCCCACCCCCCGGTCTCTCCTGAGCGTTGGGCTTCGATGTCAGACCCCACTCCGTGACTGGATCTGGGTCCCTCCCGAGTCTCCACAGAGATGTCTGTTGAATTTGTCAGGTCGTATTTGTGCACTAATAAGGGGCCATCTTTTTGACTCCAACTCAGCCCTAATGGCCCTAAAGGAGATGATACCTGAACAGAAGCCCACAAAGTAAGAAGGGACCCGGAGACCGCTCCCGAGGCTGGTTCCGGCCACGTCTCTGGATCAGTGCTCAGCTGGCAGGTGCACGTCACCCCATCGCCTCCCCCAGGAGGCGGGAGCGTGAGCGGGCATACGGGAGCACACGGCGGGGAGAAAAGCAGTCAAGGCGTTGGCAGCCCCGTTCCGAAAAAGCCAAGCGGGAAGCAGAACCTGAGGTTGGCTCAGGGTCGTGTTAACAGATGGTGGAGAGAAGCCAGAACACCTCGCCTCTCATTTGGTGCCCGTCACCAGCTGGGAAGACTAATCTTCCCGTAAAAGGCTAACGCATCTCTGTTCAGAGGAAATTGCAGACCAGGGTGTGTGTGTGTGGGGGGGGGGGGGGGTCTGGACAGGAGCCTCGAGTCTGGGTATTTGGTTGCAAGATAGGTCCTTTCACATCCTGCAGGCAGCAAGGGGTTAACCCACTGGCCCAAGGGATGGGGGTCAGAGCATGTTACAGGGCGCCGTGGCCCTTGGCGTATCCGTGTGCCCATTCCACAAACTCCTTCTTGGTCTGCACGATTCCCGGGCAGTGCAGTGGGTGTTGGTCTTGGAGCAAGAAGCCTGGACACACTTATTCAGATCTCGGCTGCGTCCGTCACAGTCCCTGGACAGGTCACAGCCCCTCTGCTATGGACAAAGGCCACCAGGTCGCAAGGAGCGGAGACTCACTCAGACCAACTCGGGAAGGCCTGGCTGTGGGGGGGCTCAGAAGGCAAAGGGGCGGGTGCTGGGGTGGCCCAGAGATGGGCGGCCGTGGGAGGCAGGCCCTCTCCTCGGGCTGGAGAAGGGTACGCAGGCGAGGTGGCCCGAAGCCTGGAGGAGCACTGCGAGGGGCAGGTTCTTACGTGCCGCCGCCCCGTTACTTGTCAGCAAGGGGCCTGTCCCTTTGGTCGGGGATAAGGGACAACTTCATAGAGGATGAAGGACAAAGGGCCGAGGGTCAGGGCCGGGTGGGGGCATCGGCCGAGCTTGGGGAGGGCTGCTGGGTGTGGCCCACTCGTGGGTTGACACTCAGCTCAAGCCAGGCAGGAGCGGGGCGGGCTTGCGGCTAGATGGTCCCTATGTCTGCACAACAAACAGCCACACACGCATTTGGGATCACATGGCTCCCGGGGGTCGGCTGGCTTCCCTGGGTCCCCTGCCCAGGACTTTGCGAAGCTTCCCTCAGGGTGTCCGCAGGGGGCTGGGCCTCCCGGGAGGCAGCCGTTCTTCTCCAGGCTCGTACAGCTGATGGCAGGATCCGTTTCCTTACACCTCATGTGTTCCTTACACCCAAGGCTCACGGCACCTGCTCTTTCGAGGCCAGTGGGGGGCGGGGGACGACTCCGACCGTGTGACCTTCTTTCAAGAGGCTCGCCTGATGAGGCCAGGACCACCCTGGTAATAACTCTTGATGACGCCTGGACCAGAGTGTGGCAGAAGGGCTCGACCTGCGCGCCCCCTGCCTTGTTCTCCAGGGAGGCTCACTCCTGGGACTTGCCCGCGTTGCCAGGAGGAAGCTCACGCCTCGCCGATGCTCTGGATGGACACAGCCTCCCCTGGCGACCTCCGCCGGGTCATGAGCCAGCCCTGGCCATGTCCTTCCCTAAGCTTCCGCACCTGCCCTCAGCCTGAGCACGCTGGACGTGAGGCACTCACGTGCTCAGGGGTTCATTCCCTCGTCTGTCCATGCGGCTGTGGGCCCTGGACTGGATTGTCTGAGTTCTGACACCTGCTAGCTAGCAGTGTTCACCCGTCTATGCTGCAGACCTTCGCTGGAAACTGGAGGGACACGGTCCTAACACCTGCCTTGCAGGGTCATGGTGAGAATCCAGGGGCTGCCGAGGCCCGGTCCCGGCACCTGGTCGGCTCTCCGCGCCTGTGAACGGATCTGTTATTGTTTGTTGTCACCGGTGTGTGCTGGGGGAAGCACAGCAGATGGTCCTGGGGAGTTTTAAACAAAGGTGCTAAGAAAACACGAAGTTTACATGTCTATTTCCAGAGGGCTCGCGTCCCACAGGGAAACAAGGTGTTTCCTGCACAGTTGTTTCCTTATTGGTTAACGACGTGTCATGCCTGCTCCTTCTGCTCATAAACTTTCGATCATTTATTCCATCCCCCGAATTCCTTGGAGGCATGCTCTGCATGTTCTCATTCTGCAGAGGAAGAACCCCAGGCTCCGAGAGGGCAGTTACATCTTCGAGCCTGCACGGCTGATGCGGGGGTCACACTCGAGTCCGTCCATGTCCACGCCGTCCCAGGCTCCTCTCCGGAGTGACTCCGGACCACCTGGGAGGCCCCAAAGCCCAGGCAAGTCTGAGGACACCTCCCAAAGCCCTGGGCGGGACTCTGCATCAAGAGGGGCTTTCAAGTTCGAAGGAGCAACTTCAACTTTCCGCTTTATTCTGTAAGAAAGAAAAGCATTCGGGCAGAAATGGGATGATTTCATCCATATTGTCCAATTTCAAATGAGTTCTCAAAAGCTGGTGGCTTCCGTTGGTGGCTGGAGTGTGTGGGGTGTCCAGGAGCTGTAAGGGGCACGTCAGGGGCCCACGGACGTCTCCTGCTTCCTGAGCGGGGAGGAGGGTGGGCGGCTTCGGGCCGGGATGTGCGGGGCCTCCTGATGCAGACGGACGCACCGGATTCTGGACCTCCCGCCTTTCCGGGGCCGTCTTGTCCAGGCGGGAGTCTCTTCTCCTGGCGCTGGGCTTGAGGATTGGCAGAAACCTCTCATGGGCTGCACATCGGGAGGCTGTCCTCATCAGCAGGCGGAGAACGGGGCTCTTGTTTGTTCTGCCCCGTGAGGCTGTCTCCGCTGGAGCCCGAGAGACAGAGAAAGGTCACCGATTCATCCGACTTCTCCGAGCACAGCCGAGTTTAAAGATCTAAAGCTGGGGTTAGCAAACATTGTGCAGGGCCAGAGAGTAAATATTTCCGGCTCTGCAGGTCAGGGACATCTACTGTGGCTTCTCTGGGCAGCTTGGGAGCAGACGTGGGTAATAGGCAAATGCACGAGCCTGGCTGTGTTTCCATAAAGCTTCCCTGGACCCTTGACAGAGCCCGAAATTTTCATTTCGTATCATTTTCACATGTCATGAAATACTCTTTTGATTTTTTTTTTTTTTGGCCAACACATAAAAACGTGGAAACTATTTTCGTGGGTAGTAGGAACGCAGGTGGCGTGCTGGATTGGACCCACGGGCAGTGGCGTGCCGAGCCCTGCTCTAAATGAGGAAGGGGCTTCCTGTGCCCTGGTCCTGGCCACCAGACCTAGGCCAGAGCGGCTCTCGCGGGCCACACCTCCCTACAGAGTTGGAGGGGGGATTTCTGCTCAAAACACATTTCCTTGGGTCTCTGGGGAGGAAGGAAACTTCTAGATGCTGGAATGGGGCGTTTCGTAAAAAAGGCACATTGTTATTTTTTTAGCAAAAGATCCAGATGTCAGGTGTCTAAATACCCGCAGGAAGGGGAAGGACGCTGTTTCTGGAGAAACAGACTCCCCCCGCAGCTCCCGTTCGGGCACCTGATGGCCTGAGATAGTCAGTGCATCCCGTCCCCTGGTCACAGTCCAGGGGGAGCACCTGCGCTGAGCTGGTCCAGGGACAGCGAATGCCAGTGGCCATGCAGGGGAGGTGGGGACAACAGCACCCTCTGTTCATCTGAACAGGATGCCGTGGACAGAGGCTGCAGCCCCACGGTTGAAACAGCCAAGGGACAGCAGAGGAAATGGTGCCAGGACCCCGAGGCCACCAAGAACGTCTGGATCGAGCTGTGCCTGAAGCCTGATTCCTCGGGAAGTTTTGTTTCAGTGAGACCATAAGACTCCGTTATTGTTGATGCCAGGCTGGATTAGCTTTTCTAGCCCAACTGGGACAATTTTCAAGCCTGGACTGGATTCACGTCCCCCCTTCTGTAGAGGCTGGGGAGTACTGGATTGAGGGTTTGAGAACTCAGCTGGCCGTGCCTCTAGCCGTCCCAGTCTTGGGCTGGCTGCACCAGTAACAGCCTGGATCCATTAAAATATATTTAGTATCTGTGTGCAGAGAGAGACTGGTAATGCAGAAGAGAATCAGCAGCGTGGGGGGCGGGTTTGCTGCTGTGGGGACGAGAACTGAGAAGCAGCTGTGGGTTTTACTGGGATTTGGAATTAGAGCCAAACACAAACATCCCCCTGGGCGTGCCAGGTAAGGGCCGACGGGGAGTGCGTGGCTCCGGAAAACCCAGCCAAGCTGCCGAGGGACACGGGCTTTGGGAGACCAGCGTCCTCGGGGCCCCAAGGAGGCCGTTCTCCCTCTCCTCCTGGTTCTACAAGAAGCATGTGATCGTGGTGGAAATTATAGAAATTGAGAAAAATGCAACAAAGAAAGTAGCCAGCATCCAAACTCCCCAACTCAGGCAATCTTTTTTTTTTTCTTAATGCAATTTTATGTCGTGGGTATTTTTGTCCCCGGAAAAATGCCTCGGCCGTCCCTTTCAGCAGCTGCAAAATATTTCACTGCAGGGATTTTCCCCTAAAAGCCGTTTTTCCTTTGTTGAACATCTAAGCCATTTGCCGGTTACTTTCTACTCGAAATTGTGTTGTGAGGAACTTCTTAGAGCAAAGTCTTTGTCCACATCCCCGGCGACGCCCCGAGGCTGGACTCCCACAGGGACAATTACCGAGTCAGAAGATTTGAATATATTTGAGGTTATTAATACATTTGGCCAAGCCGTTCCCCCCGGCCACGCACTGGTGCTGAAAACGGCAAACTTTCAAAGTGGGTCAGCTCTGTGATCAGAGGTGGGCGAGCCAGTCACAATCAGTTAGATTCAAGGCCTGAGCCACAGACTGAACCTCAGCTCCACGCAGCTGCCACGATGGGGGTCCCCGGGGCGGGGGAGGGTGTCTCTGCCGACGGGCTGGGGCTGCAGACGGCCACCTGCGGAATATCCACAGGGGAGGGGACTCCCTCCCAACAGAGGCTTAACGGGGCCAGTCTGTCCAAGCTTCTCCTGCCTCTCTCTGTGGTCCCCCCCAGCCCCCCGAAGTCCTCGGGACCTGCTGACATCCCGTTTCCTTGGATGCGGCCCCAGTGATCTCTGGGACACGGTTCATGGCTCTGCCGGCTTCCGGCTGCCCGAAGTGCCTACCTGCCCAGCCCAGGAATGCCCCAGGATCCCTCCACCCCAGCCCGCCTTGCTTCCTGGGAGTGCAAAGGACACGTGGCAAGCCATCGTGAGTCCAAGGGGCCCAGCCCAGGGCGCTCTGAGCCGTAGCCCCAGCCAGCACGGCCCCTGATGCCTGGCTCGAGGACTGCAGCACCCCGACCTCCGTCTTCAAAGCCGGGACGGTGGCTCGTGTCCTTCCCACACAGCCACGTGTCTGGTTGTCTCCTGCAGTTCCCGCTCTGCCTTCCAGGACCCCGTGATCACATCGGGTCCACGCGGGATGTGCAGAGTAGCCTTCGGGCCGCACAGCGAGCTGATTGGCATCGGCGACCCCCCTCTGCAGTGCATCCGAGAGCACGATGTGGGCATCTCTGGGGGGCCGCGATTCTGTGCATCACAGGGCCGTCTCTGGGTGGGGGACAGGAAGAACGGCAAGGACTTCAGGGCTGAAGGCAGGTGAAAACCGTGGTCAACTGGACCGGACGGCGGGACCTTACAAAGCCTGGGGGGCGGGGGCGGGGGGCTGGTGCCCCAGAGACGGTGTCACTCGGAGGACCGATGTGAGTAACTGACACTGCCTGGCTTCCAGGACTGGGTCCTCCCCGCACCAGGACAGGTCTCTGTGAGGACTCAGCCACGCGGAGGCTGGCCCTCTCACCTCTTCTGGAACCCTTAACGTCGCTGCTTGGGAGGCGCTCCCTGGAGTTGGGAGTCGGTGACTGGGGACGGGGAACGTGGCTCGGCCCCCATCCCTGCGTCTCCAGGGGCCTCCGGCAGCAGTCACGTGGTAGAAGTCATAAATCACAAGGGGGGTCTCAGCCCCGGAATGTTCCAGCAGAAACCGCTCCAGGGCACCTCCTCTGAGCCACGGGGCCGTGTGTCCAATGGTGAGGACGGTGGTCTCCTGGGGGTGGGGGTTACAGGTCAGCACGTGTAATCAGGCGCCCGCGTGATAGGTGCGCAGCCAGGCTCGGCGGGGGCCCGGGGGACCCAAGGTGCATCAGGGAGTTAAGTCCATGGGCTCGTCTGTGTCTAGAAAATGTGCGCCAAGTCCCCGGTCAGGGTCCGCTGCCTCCCATTACCGCTCTGTTCCTCTCCGAGTGGGACTTTATTTTGACATACGGCCCCTTTGCAGGAGGGAGGGGCTGACCCGGGCCGCCGGTGGGTTTTATAAACAGAAGCGGGTCCTCGGAAGAGAGCTGGAACTTCGGGGTGGGCCGAGTGGGCGGCACCGGGGACCCACGCAGGAACCCGAGCCCCCGGGGCGGCCGCTGTAGCAGGATCCCTGCTGGGGCTTCTCGGGAGAACAGAATCATGCTCAGGGGCCAAGAGTAAACTGTGAAGTGCCTGGCAAACATCTGCTCTCTGGTGCTGTCTGCCCCGGCCTTGTGGGTCCCTGCGGCTGAAGCCCCTGAGCAGCGTGGGGGGCACTGGCCGGGAAGGCTGAGGCCCACCTGAGGCCCAGAGCTGCTGGACTGGACCCGCTCGGCTTCCCTGGCCGCTCTCACCCCCTCTCTCGGGAGCGCGAATTCGGGCCGGGGCAGAAGGAGCAGAAACAGGACGCAGTGGACAACCCGTCCGCCGCGGCATCCTTGCCCCGGGCAGGCCCTGACCCTTTGGAGGAGCCGAGAGCCCGGCCCCGCCGTGGGCACCGCCGCTCGCCGTGCGCCCTCCATATGGCTCCGTAATTTGGGATTTCTTCCACGTCTCCAGGGAAGGCTGGAGGGGTTTTGATGTTCCTCCTATGATTTTCCAGCTTGCGTCTCTTCTCCTCAATAAAAGATTGGGCTTACTCACGGTGGTGAGCCAAAGTGAAAAACAGGTGCAGCGATGTAATATTTCTCTTTAATTACTGTTTATGGAAAAAAAAGCACATGAGTGTGGAAATTAATTATTCCATATTGTTAGACCAGGATGAACTACTTCCTAATTTTAACTGTGGCTTTTATGTTGAGATGGTTGCTCAACATCTTATTAATATGAGTAAATATTAACAAACAGTTCTTATGTCCCCGCTGCCTCCCCGGCCCCCTGCCCAGCCCCCTGCCCCCCTGCCCCCCTGCCCCTGTCCCCCTGCCTCCTGCCCCTGTCCCCCTACCCCTGCACCCTGCCCCCTACCCCCCTGCTCCCTGCCCCACCTGTCCCCCTGCCCCCTGTCCCTTGCCCCCGCCCCTGCCCCCTGCACCCTGCCCCCCTGTCCCCTGCCCCCTGCCCCCCTGCACCCTTCACCCTGCCCCCCTGCCCCCGTCCCCCTGCCCCCTACTCCCTTGCCCCCCTGACCTCCTGACTCCCTGGCCGCGCTCCCCGAGGGTCATGTGGACCTCCTCCTGGTGCAGAGGACAAGGGGCCGAGTCAGTACGATCTGGGGGAGCGAGGACCGCCCTCACCTGTCCGCTGCTCTGGGAGCTTCCCTGGGGGACCCCACGCCTCCCACCATCCATGACCATGCTGCCCGAGCTGCGCTGGCCAATCACAGCTCTTTCCTGGGAGTTTTTGGGTTGTTGTTTTTTTGTTTGGGCCCAGAAAAAGCTTCCATTGAACCCTTTCCAGGGGTGGCAGCCCCTAGAGGTAAATCTGAGAGCAGTCATGTCCAAATTTCCCGCTGATGGGGAAGCCTGTCTGCGAGAGAACAAAGCCGCAAGCACGGGAACCAGGGCCAGGAAGCAGAGGCCGCGGGTCACCTCTGCATCCCCGGATGACCACGTGCATGCAGCCCCGCGGCCGCCCCACTTGCTTGCAGCGTGCCCTGGGCCCCACAGCCCCTGAGTCAGTGCATCCGCTCTGCGTCAGCGCTGTGCTTGCTTCCCAGAGTCCTCCCTGAACAATCCCAAAAGGAAGCGAGTTGGCTGGGCCGGAAAGGACGGCTGCGTCTGAATCCCGCTGCAGACAGAGCTGCGCCGGGCGGGCCTCCCTGTTCCCGCCCAGGCATCTGCAGGGCACGCGCCCCCAGGACCGGTGGCCCCCTGCCCCCTGCACAGCTAGATGCCACGGTCTCCGCTGTGCCCGGGCTGCCACGTCGGGAGTGGAGGAGGAAGCATTTGGTCTCCTCCAATGCGACTGCTCTCTGGGTCCAGTCTGACAAATGCTGTTCATTAGGGCCGATGCAGACGAACATCCTTGTTTATGGGAGGCGGCTAAGTGCTCATCTCAGGGGCCAGCAGGTCAGATCTGGAGCAGGGCGTGCGTGGGGCTGGCTCGCCACGGCCCCCGGGAGACACAGGCTGCGGTGGGAACACCAAGGCCAGGCACGTGCCACCTGCCATGGGCCGGTCCAACGGGAGCTTACGGTGGGGCTACAGTAAAATCCAGCAGCTTCCGTCCCCACCCTCCGAGCCTCAGCCTGCTGTCTCTAGATGGGTGCCCCGCAGTGTTCCTGCAGACACACCTGTGGCCACCAACACCCACGACGCGACTCTTGCCGGCTGCGTGAGGGCCGGGTTGGGAACGTGGGGGCTGCCTTAGTCCCTGGACCGGGCGGCTTGCTTCCTCGCGGTGCCGGAGGCCGGGGGTCTGAGATCCAGGCTCGCACACGGCAAACTTCTCGTGGTGCCGTCACCAGGCAGAGTGCGGACGCTGGTGTCTCCTTCTCCTCCTACAAGGACACGGATCCCATCATGGGGGCTCCACCCTCCCGACCTCACCTCAACCGGTCTCCTGATACCAGCCCGTCTGGGGTTAGCGTTTCAACATGTCAGTTCTGGGGGGCACGAGGCAGGGGCGTGCAGGGAGGAAGGGCAGAGCTGGAATACTTCAGCAACTTCCACGGGGACCCCGAAGCATGCCGGCAGGTGCCTCCCTTCCTGGCCTTCTGACCATTTATCCCAGTCACCAGTCCCATGGCTCCAGGAGCCTGAGAAACGAGTGGTGACCGTCAGCCCTGCTGGGCAGCGGGACCGCCTACCGCGGCTTTCAAAGTTCGGACCGTCATCCACAGTTAGGAAGCAGATTGTGCACCACCACCCAGGGGCACACGTGTGTGCATGCAGTGCGTACACACACAAACACACACGAAGCTCATGTGTGTACACACACGCAAAGCACACACATGCACAGCAAACATGCACATGCAAAGACACACACATACAGAGGTGGGTTCACACGCAATACACACATGCACACACGTGCGCACACACAGCACACATGCGTGCACACACGTGTGCACTCACAGATGCACACGCGTGCACACACATGCACACACACAGCACACACGTGTGCACGCATGCGCACCACACGTGTGCACTCACAGATGCGCACACACAGCACACACGTGTGCACGCATGCGCACCACACGTGTGCACTCACAGATGCACACACACAGCACACACGTGTGCACTCACAGATGCACACATGTGTGCACACATGCACACATAGATACACACAGCACACAAGTGTGCATGCATGCACACGACACATGTGCACTCACACGTGTGCACACACACAGCTCACACACATACACACATAGACACACACAGCACACACGTGTGCATGCATGCACACAACACGTGTGCACTCACAGATGCACACACGTGTGCACACACACAGCACACACGTGTGCACTCACAGATGCACACACGTGTGCACACATACACACATGCACACACATGCAGGATTTCAACAGTTTCACCAACTTACCTGCAGAGTAGAATTCCCTCAGACTTTTCCTCACCTATGCAACTTTGTATTTTTATAAAAATGCTGGTTGCAACCTGATCATCGATTCCACAGTCGCCCGTGGGTCCTAACCCTTGGTTAAAACAACGACAACCCCGACCTGAGGTTTCTGCAGCTCCCTGTGACCCTTGCTGGGCAAGGCCTCCAGGGAGGGGACACTTGAGCTGACTTGGAGGAGGACCATCGCCAGCCAGGCAGAAACAGCCCTTTGAAAATGCCAGGATGGAGGGAGGGAGAGAGAGAGAGAGAGACACTGGCTGGAGCCCCCGGGATGCGGGAGTGGGTGAGGGGCTGAGGGTCAGGTGGGGCCGGTCGTGGGGGTTACACGGCATGCAGAAGGGTTTGGGTGATATGCGAGGAGGTCTGGGGAGGGAGCCCCCACTGCCACGTGGAGAGTGGATTTGGGGCGCCGTAGTCAGGGTGGGGGTGCAGACGCAAGGCTGGACTCGGGGGGCCCGTGGGCAGGGTGACACCAAACGTGGGGTGCGGATAGCAAGGACACGGCTCCCGTAGGAGCACAGAGGAGGGCAGGAACCTCCCGGTGGACGCAGGGCTCGTCCAGGCCAGCCCCTGCATCTCAGCCTTCACCCGCCCTCCAGCCTCTAGCCTCCAGCCTCCAGCCTTGAGCATGACCCCAACGACTGTGGTGCCTGCAGATCCGGAGGACGGGGATGGAGAGGGTGTCTCGCCCCAGAAGCACCACGATGGGCAGGCTGCCAGGCTCTGGGATTCTGCCCACGCGCCCGCTTGGGCTCTGCCCTGGCTTCCTGCTTCAGCCTCGCATGGGCTTGTCCAGGGCTGAGTTGACCTGGAGAGGGGGTGTGAGGGGGCTCAGGCATGGGGTTGGGGGGCCTGAGCCCAATACCGGAGGAGAGGTCCCAGGGGGAACCTGTGTCCCATCGCTCCTGAGGCTCCTCTGATTCCCGAGAGTGAATTACTCATCAGGGCCACCGTGCGTGACCTCAGAAGCAGCCCACCCCCAGCCGGCGCTCCCCGGTTCTGGCTTCCTGCGCATGAACCTCCCACCTTCCCCATCCTGAGCTGGATGTTTTCTGCCTTGCTCTGAATTTTCTTTTTCTTTTTCTGGCTTCTGTTTAAAATTAATTCCACAACACTGAATAACCTTCCCCCACAAGGTTGGAGTTAATCAGGCTGAATTTATTAAGATCTTTACGATTAAATGATCTCATACCAGGAGGAGGAAAGTTACCTTATTATCCCATTTTAAGAGTTTGAATCATTTTCACCCCCGACTCACTGTCGACACCCAGTGACGTCCACCGTGGTCACTGATGACTTTGGGGAGCACTAGACCACAGTCCAGTCTGTGTTTCCCATCCCCGATGTGGGGAGAAGCCTGTCCAGACTGGTGAGTCATTGCAGAACACCGGATGACGAGGGTGTGCCGCGGAAACCCGTCTCCATTCTACGGGTAAACTTGGGCTCCAGAGGGGGCTTACGAGGGGATAGTTTCCTCCCAAGAGTTCCTCACTGGGGTGGGGGGAACTCTCAGCCTCGCCCGGATCCCTGCCCCCGCCTGCCCTTCCGGCTCTTCTCTCTTCAAGGCAGGGACCTCCAGCCTGCCTCCGACGAGGGCAGATAGACCAGACAGGTGGGGCTTTTAGAGCCCGGAGGAGGGGGGCTCAGCTCAGAAACGGCCCTGCTGCTAGTCCCGCTCATTGTTCCTAAAGGTCCGACCTTGATAATCCATCCCATACTCTGGCTTATTAAAGTCTGGGAGGTTCCCTGCTTTGGTCTTGCCCACCTTGCTCAGCAGAACCTCTACCCCCGGGGGCTGACACCTGTTTGGATGTCTGAGTCTCACTCTCTCTCACTCAGCTGCCTCATGGATGGGCCCTATCCACTTCTGTATTCACCATGCTCTGTGGCCGAAGCCTCTAACGGGTTGAATTATGTCCCCCCAAAAAGATAACCTTGAGTATCTGTGAGTATGACCTTATTTGGAAATAAGATCTTTGCAGATGTAACCAAATTAAGAAGAGGTCATCAGGGGGCATGGTCGGTGCCCCGACAAAGAGAGGAGAAGCCACGTGACAATGGTGGCCGGGATTAGGTGACACGTCTCCACTCCAAGGATGGTCCTCAGCAGCAGGAGCTGAGAGAAGGGCCTCGGACACACTCTCCAAAGGAGCCAGCCCTGCGGACACCTTGATCTTGGACCTCTAATCCTGGGTCTCCCCAACAGCGAACCCAACCAGATGACATTTGCCCCTGACTTCATCCGTGAATCCCCTCCCACCCCATCATTAGAGCGCGATCACCCCAGGGAGTGGTCCACACGCCCAGGCAGTCTGGGAGTGGTACAAAATGAGTGCCACCCTCGGTGAGCTCTTAACCCTACTCAGTCGACCTCTGTGCTCTGGACTCACCTCGTGGTTTCGGTCATAAGAACGTAGATATCCTACAATTTCTACCTTCTGATTTTGTCTGTCTGCAGGGCTTTAGAGATCTGTCCATGTTCCCAAGAAGTAATCGATTTCGTCCACCCTGCTTCTGCTAACCACCCCTAGGAACTTTCCTACCGCTCAGCTCTGCCCACTGAGCCCGACTGTTTTGCCCCTTGGAGGTCAGCTCCAGCCCTGGCCATGGAAGGGGTGGACGAGGTGTGGGCAACTGGTGGGGGAGAGTTCATGCACGGTCTTGAGAGAAGGTTGGAGTTTTTAGGGGCGGAGGAGGACTGGTGGGTATTCCAGGAAGACAGATCAGCCCATGAGAATGGGCCAAATTTCAGATTTTAAAATTCAGAGGAGCACATTTCAAAATGTGGTCGGGGGTCTTGGGAGTCTCTGAGACCATGTCAGGGGATCCGTAGGGTCAACACAAATTCCATAAAAAAGGTAACACTCGATTTGCCTTTTTCATAGTCAGATACATACGGCGATGTTGCCAAAGCGACGGTGGGTAAAATTGGTTGGCGTGAATTAAAGCCATAGCACCAAACTGCGCTAGCCGTCCCTGTTTCTTCACCGAACACGTGCAGAAATAAAGCATCCATTGCAGTTACGGATGTCCTTCATAAAGCGGCAAACAACACTCATCTGATGAGCTTTTGGATCTTGAGTGCATACCTCTTAAGATCCTGCGTGATGAAGTGGGAAGCACGGACAGCACTTCTGTCATGCGCCAAAGTACAATGGTTTCCGGAGGGGTCATCCTTGTGCAGTTGTTTGGGTCGCACACTGAACCAGCCCCTTTACTCATGAAACACAAATTTTCCTTGGAAGGGTAGCAGAGAGTCGAGTGGTGAGTATTCAAACTTGAGTGTTTTGCAGATACTTATGGAATGTGAACTAGTAAATAATTGGCAGTATTCGTTGTCAGTGATAGGACTCAAGTTTTCAGAATAAGAATTAGAATGTTGGAGGTCTTATATTTCTGTTTGGTTTGAACTTGCATTTCCCTGTGGTTAATGACATTGGGCATCTTCTTGTGCGCTTATCTGCCACTTGTAATATGTCTTCTTCGTGTGATGGCACATTTTGCCCATTTTTTGTCATATCGTTTGTTTTCTTCTTATTGAATTGTTGGAGTTCTTTATATATTCTGGACACAAGTCGTTTATGAGACAGATGTTTGCAAATATTTTCCACCAGTCTCTGCAGCTTGTCTCTTAATTATCTTTACAATGTCTTTCAAAGGCCAGAAGCTTTACATTTTTATGAAATCCCATTTATCAATTTTTTTTCTTTTATGGGTTTTGCTTTTTGTGTCCTAAGTAATCTTTGCCTAACTCAAAGTCACAAAGATTTTTTTCTATGACTTTTTTTTACAAGTTTTAAAGGGTTAGATTTTCACTTTAGCTCTCTGATCCATTTTGAGTTAATTTTTGCATATGGTGTGAGTTAGGGGTTGAGGTAGGTTTGTCTATTTATCTATCTATCTATCTATCTATCTATCTATCTATCTATTTATCTATCATCTATCTATCACCTATCTATTTTTACATATGGATGTCTAATATTTCCAGCATTATTTGTGGAAAAGGGCATTCTTTCTCTATTGAATTTTCTTTGACACTTTCATTGGAAATCAATGAACTATACATGTATATGCTTATTTCTAAATTTCTTATTCTTGTGTTCCATGATCTACACAGATCTCCTTGTGCTGATAGCCACTGTCTTGATTACTATGATTTTATAGTTTTGAAATCAGATTGTGTGCATCCTCCATCACTGTTATTTTTTTTTTCAAATTTACTTTGGCTATTTTAGTTCTTTCCATATAAATTTTTTAATCAACTTGCTAATCTTTCACCAAAATGTCTCTGATATTTTGATTAAGGTTGTGATGAATTTGAGGAAAATCAATGTCTTAATGACATAGAGTCCTTCATTCATGGATATGGTATATCTCTCCATTTATTTAGGTTCTCTTTACCTTTCCTCAGCAAATGTTTTGTTGCTTTCAGAGTATTCTGCCAGCAATGTTGTTGAATTCATTTAATAAGCATTTTGAAAAACAAACATTTTGCAGAGTTTTGAGATTTTTCTATATTGACAATAATGTATCTGCTAGTATAGATTATAGTTATTCCTTTCCAGTCTATATGCCTTTTATTTCTGCTTCTTGCCTTTTGCACTGATAGAACTTCCAGAACAATATTGACAAAGGGGTTGGCGAGAAAAGACATCCTTGCTTATTCTCAGTCTTGGAGGGAAAGCATTTAGTCTTTCTTCACTGAGCGTGTGTTAGCTGGAAGTTTTTTCACAAATGTCTTATTGAGTTGTGAGAGTTTCTTCTATTCCCAGATTGTGGAGAGTATTTTATTGCCAAATTTCCTCCAAGCATTTATTGAGATGATTATACAAGTTCCATTTTTCAGCTTGTTGTTACCATGTATTACATTGGTTGGGTTTTGAATCAATCTTGAATTCATGGGGTAATCCTCATTTGATCATGTCATGTTATCCTTTTAATAGATTTTTGGATTCAATTTGGTTAACATTTTGTTAAGGATTTTTGCGCCTATGTGCATGAGGGGCATTGGTCTATAGTTTCCATTTCTTATAATATCTTTAACTGACTTAGGTACTGGGGTAACCGCCATCTCATAAAGCCTTCTCTTCTATCTTTTGGAAGAGAGTGTAGGCTCATGTTCTCTGATTCTGATGTTCAGGTCATTTATATTCTCACTGATTTTCTGTGTACATGTTCTATTGATTACTGAGAGAGTGGTGAGGATTTATCTGTTTCTTCTTATAGTTCTATCAATTTTTGTTTTATTTATTTTGAAGTTCTGTTGTTAAATGCATACACATTAAAGATTTTTTAATTATGTCATGTCTCTCTTTATCATTAGTAATATGCCTTGTTCTAAAATCTACCTGGTTTGGTACTAATATAGCTGGTCCAGCTTTCTTTTGATTCATTTTCATATATATTTCCCATTCTTTCCCTTTTAATCTATTTATAATTTTATATTTCAAGTGTGGTTTTTTTTTTTTGTAGATAGCATAGAGTTAGTTATTCAAATCTGATACTTTTTTTAATTGAGTTTCTGAGACCATTTATATTTAATTCAATTATTGATCTAGTTGGATTCAATATACATATTTAAATATGTGAATTTCTCATTTTTTTTTACTTCTTTTAACTTTCTTAAAACACTTGATTTTATCCTAAAAACATCCAAATTTGAAATCCCATTTCAGCCTGAGAGCAAACATGTGGGAGTTCCGGGATGATGGGCAGGAACCATGCATGAAGGATGGAGGAGGATGTGGAGGTCTTCATTTCCCAGGTGGCATCTACTTGCTAAGCAGCTCTGAACAGGCCTATCTTCATAAAACGGGCTTGACTCCGATCCACCCTTGATAAATCAATAACCTCTCATAAAGACTCTGTAGAGTGTGTACTTCTCTGTTGCTATGAGCTAATGGATGAAAGAGGAGGATCCAATGTTCCTCCACCACCCCCCCCCCCACCCATGGCCTTGGCACCTTCAGAAATAATCCACAGAATGCTGGGTGCTGACTGAAGAGACCACACTCTCCCCCAAATACTGCATGAGGCTCAGGAGGAAATACACCTGCGGGAAAATGTGTTCTTATTAATCTGGCTGGTTGTTTGCTATTTGTTGTATCTGTTTTCTGTCTTCTGTTCACCCTGTTCTCTTTTTCTGCCTTCTTTTGGATCTGTTGGATAGTGTTCATAATTCATTTTTATCTTCACTATTGGTTTATTTGTTATATCTCTTTTTTACTTTTAAGTAGTTGCTGTAGGGGTTACAATATACAGCTTTAGCTTACCACAGCCTTCCCTTATATTATATTACTTTATATGTAGTATATGAACCTTACAACAGTTTATCTCCATGTCCTCATTCCCATTGTTGGTGCTATAGACCCCAGATACATTATAAATTTTTTTTGTTTTGTTTCAGACAGTCAATTATATTTTAAAGTCATTTAAAAGTCAGTTTTAAAATGTCTTTTATATTTATACACATTTTTACACTTTTTGGTTTATACTTCATTTCTTTGTGTAGATCCAAATTTCCATCTGGTATTACAGTCCTTCTGCCTGAAGAATTTCCTTTAACATTTCTTATGGTGCAGGTTTGCTAGCAACTTATTCTTTCAGCTTTTGTTTTTCTGAAAAATCTCTATTTCACTTGCATTTCTCAAAGACATTTCTCTTGATACAGAATTTTAACTTGACAGTGTTTTTTTTTTTAATACTTTAAAAGGGTTACTCCATTTTCTTCTGAGAAATCTGTTGAATTCTTATATTTTTTTCTCTCTGTAGTGTTTCTTTTTTTCTCTATCTTCACTGTTTTATTCTTATCTTTGATGTTTGTTTTCAGCGGTTCGGTTTCAGACTTCTCTATATCTAGATGTGTGTGTGCAAGTGTGTGTGAGTGTGTTTGTGTGTGTGTTGTAATTTATTCTGCTTGATGTTCTTTGAACTACTCAGATCTATGGGTTACTGTATTTTATTAGTTTTGTAAAGTTCTTAGCCATTATCCCTTCAAGTATTTCTTCCACATTTTTCCTCTTTCTCCTCCTTCTTGGACTCCAATTACGGATATTGTCTAACAGCTCTTGGGTGCTCTCCTCTGTTTTCCACCTTGTGTTTTAGTTTTGGTGGCTTCTGTTGACTCACATTCAAGTCCACCAACTTGCCCTCAGCTGCATTTACTCTACTTATAAGCCCATCAAAGGAATTCTTCATCTCCGACAGCCTCTTTTTATATTTATAACATTTTAATTTCCTATTTGTAAAAGAGTTTCCTCTGCTGAAATTCTCCATCAGGTTTTGCACGCTCTCCACCTTTCCCCACAGATGCTTTACCGTACGAGTCAGTGATTTGGAAGTCCCAGGCAGATATATCCAAGTCAGCATCATCTCAGAGTCTGGTTCAATCGATTGTTTTATCTCTTGATAATGGATCATTTATTTTGTGTGTGTGTCTCACAGTTTTTATCGACTGTCAGACGTTGTGTGTAGAGGTTCAGTGGAGGCTGAAAGCAGTGATTTGACTCCTGGAAGTGGCCACGCTTCCTCCTCTGTCAGAATCTTGGGTTGGGGGCTGAGTCCCTCTCGGGCGGGACTGAGCTAGGCTAGGGTTTGTGCAGCCAGATCTCCCTTGCAAAGCACCACAAGCTTCAGACCCCCCAGAGGCGGCCTGCTGCTGCCTCGTGCTCAGTGTCAGGCCCGGGGCGCCAGGGAGGTGCTCTCAGTCTTCCTGCTTCACCCTCAGCTTTCAGCAATTCCTGCACACCTGCACCGCGGAAGGTGACTCCCCCGTGATCTCACACCGACTCCAGCACCTGGTGCTGCTTTCCTCTGTGAGGCTCCTGATGGCACATGAGCTTTGCTCACCTGCTGTCCATCTCCAGCCTTAGGCGGACCCTCTGCATCCCAGCCTCAGAGGTTTGGAGTCATCAACAGTCCTGCTTCTCCCCTCTTGGGCAACCCAAGGCTGCCTTGTGTGTATGGCTGGCATGGGCCCCTTCCTCCCCCAGGAGTAGCAGACCTGTGCTTAGTCTCAGAGCAAGATCCTGAGCCCGAGAGCGTTTCCTGCCCCTGCCCCTGCCCCAAGGGCAGAAAGCTTTGGCATCTGCCCTTCCCCCGTGATCAGGTGGCTTGGCTTCCACTTCTCCCCCAGTAGTGAAGTATTTTTGTTCAAGCCTGGGGAGCAGGAGGCTTTCCTTTCACTTCTCCCAATAGCTTGTGGCTTTTGCTTTGGGAAAGAAAGGTCTGTGGGGGTAGGAGGGGTTTGTGCCTATGACCCAGCTGCGGCTGAGCACCATCTTCTTGCCTGCACCGCTGGTCTGAACCTTCTCATGCTTCCTGCCCTGCTTCCCACTTTTCTTGTGTGCCAGCCTCAGCCCAACCTTCCAGAGTTCATTACAAGTTTACCTGCCTTACTCTTGCCTACATATGGCAGCCACACCTACTCCCCATGCTTTCCAAAGGTGACACCTTCCCGGTGATGAAGCATCTCACTGCCCCTCGAAGGGCTCGCTGCAAATCAGGACTCAGTCCATGTGGCTGCCTTGTGAGCTCAGCTCTCTGAAGGGCTCCAGAAAAGTCATGATTTTATAGATTATCAGGCCTTTTCATGTGACGACGATGGGAGGGACATGTCTGGGGGGATTTCT